TTGTACATGACAAGCATTTCAGAAAAGCTGAAAGCAAGAAAGCTATATTACATGACAATTAGTTAAATAAAAAATGGGTCTAATTTGGTTATGAAATTTCTTATGAATGTGACAATGTTTACACTACTGGGGACTCTCATAATAAACATTGTCAGGCATTTCCACAAAATTCAGTGTAAATCATAAATGTGCATCATTGCCTTCATTCCACAAATTACCCATCATTTCAGTGAGAATAAATGACTGCTTTAATGTTTGCTAAAAACTAACTTCAATTCTTTTACAAGAAATGTGTTATATGGTAAGCAAGTTGTTTGATAGTCTCTAATATTGTAGCTCAAATTTTTCAATATTTTGTGACTTATTTTCTCTTTGTTTAGCGTATAGATTTTCATTTTGATAGGACCTTGTCCGTATTGCAAAAAATTGTGAAAATCATACCCTTTGATGCAGTTTCTTGATGCAAAATCTTAAACCTACATGTTTCACTAGGAAAAAAGTGCATTCCTTATGGGGAACATGATCACACCCAGGCCTTGCAGAGCAGTCAGTCGTGAGGATACAACATTTTTTTTATTTTGCAAACTTGTCTTCAGTAAAATTCTCTTTTGAATCAGATCAATAGTTAAAAAAAATATGCTCATGCACTTTTTATCTTTCAGTTTTCCAACAGCTTTTGGATTCTCATGCACTTGTGCTCTGACAAGCAGAACACATACCTTTTTTTGGTTAACTCAGAACCACAACGCTTCAGATGAATGCAGCAAACTATTTCCTCTGTCATTAGAAAACCTTTTAGTTCTGCAGTGAACCTGGCAGAACAGCATGTGCTAAATACCTAACACCTATCTAACTTATAATCAATCTCTGTGACATATAAGTGTCCTCTAGGCTCCTGCACTGCACTTTTCTACTTCTGTGATCTGAAAAGAAGTAGCAATAAAAACACACTACCTGAAATAAATAACTCAGAGGAAGTGTCTACCACCTAGGCCGCTTTCATAACATGGCAAAGAAGCTATCATGATTATCTGAGAAAATTTTCTGTGCCACAGACTGGGAGTGTCAGGAAACAAAGTCCTTGCATTGTTAAACAGAAGGGATGGACATTTGCAAAAAAATAGCTATGGGTGAAAGAAAACCAGAAAATATTAGTAATGGAGATCAGTGGAAGGGCATGGAAAAGCATGGAAAGAGGATAGTGAGTATGGAATAGACAGACAAGTAGAGACACAGACAAAGCAAAAAATAGAAATATGAAAATAAGAATGAGAAAACTTTAGAACTTTGGAGAAAACCAGAAAGTCTTTTTCCATCTGCTGTGCAAACAGACTTTTCATCTTCAAATATTTGCTTATATTTTTTCAATATATTACTTTCCTTCAAACAGAAAATATTTTAAATTCTTGATATATAAAGTACTCACTTGCCTAAATCCTGAATCTCAAATTTAAGATAAAAGTAAGGAAAAGATGGAATTCAACTAAATATTATGACTTAAAAAAATGTTTATAGAACTTGTCTTTAAAGAAAATGATTTAGGTTAAACCTGCTTATACATCTTTCATTTAAAGTTATATAAGCATGTCTGTGCTTCACTGGTTGGGTTTTAAAGCTCCCCATATAACTTCAAATGTATTCTTTGAAAGTAAAATTTTACTCCTTTTATTCAACAAAATTCTGTCAGTAACTAATCATCAAAGATATTTCACACTCTAAAGTACCTATTTGTTTCATTCACTTTAAGTGTCATATTTATTTTGAACTCACTTAAAGTCTTGATTTGTTATCATGCTCTCTGGGAAAGCAACTGCACACAGGCTGCATGACATCTACCTACACAAGACTTTCTTTAGCAGGTAAAAAACTCCAAAACTATCCATTATGCACATAAAATGATCTGTATATCTTCCCCACTAAAGAAGGACAGATTTCCTGTCTATCACAGCACTTTGAGGCTACAATTATTCACGTTCCTTTTGAAAAGCACAGTTATTCTGTGAGAATTGTAATGCTCAAATGGTCCATTAATTCTTTAGAAAAGACATTATTTGTTCCTTAGGACCGCCTTATAATGTAAATTATCCATGTAAATATTGAGAGAAATTCATTCTGGGGCAATTCTATTTGTCTATCTATTAATTCTATTTCCAGCTAAAAGTTAATACACATTCTCAGGTAAATACAGAATGGGATACAAAAATTGTTATAGTAGCCTTGGCAGGGACCTGGTTGAGTCACCAACCCTGAAAGGATTTAAAAGACAAGTAGATGTGTCACAGACATGTTTTAGTGATGCCACTGCTGGGTTAATGGTTGCACGGATAATCTTTAGGAGATTTTCCGGCCTCAATGATTCTGTGATCCTATAAACAAAGTAGCCCACTAAAATTTCTCTGGGTTTCAGAAGCAAAAGTAGTTGCCAGTACATGTTTAGCAAGATACAGCCTTTGGATATAGAGCAGACATACACTGATTAAAAAACATGACAAAATGACTGATGACACCATTATCTTTTATGAAAACCACTACAGGAAGGCTCCTGTGATCCAGGATTTTAATTTTTTTAAGGCAAATACAGTAGTCATTGTTTCACATGTATGTATACATGCAGCATATATACATATGTGTGTGTATGCTTGTATATAAACAAAAAAAGAGAAATAGTATATATTCTAATGTTTATGTGTATACAGGTGTGTATAAGTATACACCTCCCTAAAACTGATTTTCCAGAATTAGAACATTGCTATATAAAGCAAGTTTACTAGTCACTGCTTAGCCTTACACTATCACTGATGTTTGATCACTTCTGATGACTTGGAAAAAAATGTGGAAGAAGTGTATGTATTCTTGTGTATTTGCAGAAATCTCATAGTAGAATTTACTTCATCTATACAGGTTTGAACAGATTTCCACCAGTTTGATCAAGTATAATGAATATGAATTGCAAGAGTTAGCAAGGGTTGTATATGGTTCACTTAGAATTCTTGTAGCCCAGAACTCAGCTATGGAAAAGTTTCATATTGCAGCTCTGATACTACCAGAACAATTTCTTCACTTTAGCATAAACACAAGCAGAAATATTTTGGAAAATATGAACTACTTCACAAACTGGCATTATAATTCCCTGTTTGGGGTTTAGATTAATCTAAAAACATTTCACTCAATAAATAGCTTCTATTTTTATTCTCATCACTTACAGACATAGTTTAATAGAATACCATCTGCTCTCACAGACCTTGTTTCAGTTTGACATCTTTCACAGTTAATTTGCTTCCTTATTTTATCTTAGAATGTGCATCTATTCAGTATATAAATGTTAAGTGAGTTTTTTTTTGTGCAGCCATTGCAAAATTCTCAGGCACTAAGACTTACTCAACTGATGAAAAGAACTTTGAAAAATTTACTGCAAAATTCCTGAAGATTTTCTCCAACTAATCCAATTAACAGTTATCTCTCTAAAAATATGTTTGTGACATGAAAAGAACAATTCCCTAAAAGCTACAAAAAGGAAACACTCCATAGGAATAGATACAGACTGAAGTGGAAAGCTACTTTCAGGAAAACAAACATGAGGCATTCAGCATTGTGTACTAAATATAGTCCCTGTCTTTTTTTCCTGTATCTTACATTTTGTCATTGATCTTTTATTCTGGTACAAAGACTAAAAATTTTTGTCCTTGTGGAAGTTCTCATTTGTTTCTGGGAAGCAAGAAAAACAAGCAAGTCATAAAGTTAGTTTTTCTATTTTTTTAAGGACTACATCCTTGATTCTATCTTTGACTTCTATCAAGGACTACATCCTTGATTCTATCCTATTTTTGAGTAAGATTTTTTTAAAATACCTACTTCAAAATTAAAACAATAGCAAGTTCTTAGCAAATCTGTGATTATTGGCAAAAAAAGTAACAGAAAAGTGTATATATACACCAGGTGTATATTTTCTGTTGCAGTAAGACCAGCTTTTGTTGCTGCACCTCTAATTTTCCTTGGATTACACCAGTAGCTTCTGAACAATACCCTGCTGACTATAATGCCAGTGAGATATAGCCCCCAATTTGAGATTATAAAAATTGTTTCTGATGATATATTGGTAACATCAGATGTTAAATATGGCTAAATGTTTCAGTTTCAACAATTTTTTTTAATTTGAGCAATAAATTAAAAAGAAAGAAAAAACTTATTTTAATTCTTACAGATTTTGTGGCTGGTGAAGAACAGGTTGCAAAAATAAAAGGGAAAAATATGAAGATGAAAACAAACATGAAAATTAATTTAATGTCTTGTGTTCTAAAAGAAAGGAAATCAGGTTTTGAAAAGGGCATTTTGACAGTGACACACTCCTCAGCCCCATCCCATCCTTCCAGGGCTTATTGCTCTGCTTCAGAAAGCAGCACACCTTCATGCTTTAGCTCCAAATCCAATCACTAGTGAAGTCATATGTAAGCTTAGAAGAACAGGACTTGGTCTTGTCCATTGGACTCAGTCTTGGAGGTCTTTTCTAACTTACATAATTCTTGGATTTCATGGTAACATTTGAATGGGCCAATTTTACCTGATGCAGATTTTAATTTCTATTTTGGGGAATGTTTTTCTTTGATATATGTACAACTAAGTATTTTTTGCTTGATGCCTAGAGTCATATTAAGCATATATGCAGGAGGTTTGTTATTTTGGGCTACTAATATTTTCTTTTTTACTTTACCAATACCACATTTAGTGGTTTGAGACAGCATGGCTAAATGCATCTCTGTATAGAGGTACAGCAAGATTTAGTTGAGAATCACAGCAAGAGACACCTCTCAGCTCAAAGCTGATGACTGTTCATTGAGGCTAAAAATTTGGACACAGCCAGATACCAGATGTTTGGTTGCATCACTTTTGCATGCAACTAGCTGCAGAAATTGGTAAACAATAACAACATTAAGCTAATGGGACACAGATGTTATGCTGGACTGCTGTTCATATGTACTGATAAGAAATACACTGAAGAAAAATGGCTATTGAAGTGTATTTTTATTATACAGTAATTTGTAATACAGGAAAGGTGTCAGTTTTGAACATATATATACAAAGTTACAGTAAACGAAGTGATTCGTTGTTTTAAGGAGAGACAAGCTGCACTAAATCCAGTTTTATTTATATAAAATCTAAAAAAACTTTTCATAATTTATAGAATATACAGACTTTTATTGAAAGATGAACACATAATGAGTACAATATCTTCCTCATATTAGTTTGAAAATGGATTCACATTTTACATACTTCCTTTTATATTCAGTGGGAAACCTCCACAGCTTGGTTTGTTTTGCTACTCAGACACTTAATGACTAATTTTGTATTAGTCCAGCTATCTGAAGCCATAACTCAAAGAGCAGAATTGCAGAGAAAGAGCTTCTTTGTACAAACTCAATAATACTTTACATATTGAGCCACATTTTTCTTTTACAGGAAGTTTCTTCAAAATAAGAAATGGTTTTAAAAGATTAATAATGACAAATATTGATATTACTAGTCCTAAGGATACCAGTAAGAAAGGATTAGGACTGATAGTAATACAATGAAAGATAAAATAACTGGCACTCTAAAAAGCTTTGCTAATCTATAAGTAGCACAGACAGCATTAGAGAGAATTACACCCTGTATCAAAGCCTGGCAGAGGTAGTGGTAAAGGCCACTGGAACTGTACATGAGATATTGGTCCATTTTTATAATTATCTAACACAACTAGAAACATCTTGAAAATACATTTCTTTATAATATAATGAAGTACCATGAATATATTATTCCCTTTGGTTTATGAATCAAGGATCATTGACTGCAGTATTTTTACCAAAAATGCAACCTTGCCATTGCTGTATAGCAGTTATAAGGGAAAAAATAGAAAACCTCTTTAAAAGGATATATATGTGGAATGCCTGCACTAGCACAGAACTTATTACTTTATTTGGGGATCTGCATGTATGCACAGCTGAGCGATGTTCCTTGAAGGAGCGGCCTATAGATATTTTTCTTAAACTACATTTTAGTATCTTATACAAATTTATAAGTGTAAATTTTTTTTCCAGAGGATTTTCTAGTCAATACAAAAGTAGTTACACAGAAAAATACTTAAGCCATGTAAGGCCATAACAGAACTTAGAAGCAGCAATTTTTCTTATTAAGCTAGTAATATATGCTAAACAGGCACAAAGTGGTTACAAAAACTTATGTGATCAAAACATTTTTGAAGCATGTCATAGAAATTATTGCCTCAGAAATGTGTAATAAATTACAATTAAAAAGGGTCAAAATACAGGGTAAAATAATGTTTCCATGTCAACTGAATAAAAATAATTTATTTACAGATCATGAGGAAAAACATAGAAGACCTTTGCTTTTCAAATAAATACATGTATTAAGGGAACACTTTCACTAACTAAAAAAATAAATTTATGTGATTAAATGAACTGTTCTTATGTACTAAACAAAACCATAAAAACATTCAAAGGACAATAGTGCAACCATGTCAGAGCATAAAGCTGATGTTTGCCATTTTACCTTTTAGGCTGAAGACAAGGTGACCTTTTAAAGTAAAACAGCAGAAAAAATTATGCATGCATTATATCCACATATAAATACATGCTTTGATTTCTAGATTTAAATATTTTTCAAAGTTCTTTTGCTTTAACATAAATTCAACACAGTATTATGTGAACATTCAAAACATGATGGAGCTGACCATCACAGGATTTCTAAAATGAGTTCCAACTAAGCTATAGTTATATCCCCATTTAATAGTGCTTTTTCAGTCCCCTAGACACTGATCATGAATTTACTCCAAGATAAAACTTTGTTAACAGCTAACAACCTTCAACACTGAATCTTATTTAGAAAACAACACTGTTTCAAATTAAAGTTGCTTTACATGACACAAAAAAATTACAGAACTTAATAAATTAATTCAGGCTACATAATTTCACTAAATATCATAAGACGGATTTTGGTTATTAAAATAACCAAAAACATCAGTGGCCTGTAGAGAAGGAAAAGCTGGTGTGAAGGTAGGTCCCTGAACTCATATCCTTCAACCAGGATGTGAAAGATGGATAAAAACAAACATGGATATTCTCATGGCATCCTCTGTATGATAAAAATATCAGATACGAAAGCAATTACTACACATGCACACATGCTGCTAATTCTCAGATGTGGAACCCAGAGAACTTTGCAAGAGACACTTCTGATGTTGTGACACTGGTGGATAGAAGGCCAAGGGAAATCTACAGATACTGAAAGGGAAGTCACCAAGATTAAGAGTCAAATTCTTGCTAGTAGCAGGAGATGACATAATGGGGGGGAAATTGTTATAAATTTGTAGTCATATGGGGAACTGAAGTTGGACATGAAGAGAAATGTTTATCCAGAAAAGGAGGAAAAGTATGAGAACATGTTGCCCCGAATGGCAGTAGTACCTCTGTCCTGTGGCATTTTCACAGCCTGGCTACCCAAATAACAGATAAACAAATCTAGGGCTAGTGAAAGTCCATCTCTGCTTGGGTCCTTGGGAGGCTGGACAAAATCATTTCTAGAAATTCTTCCTGCAAATCACTTTATATGTTTCTCTGTATCCAGCCAAAACACTTTCCTCAGGCACGTGTGTCAATAATGCTTAGGCAAACATTGCACCTCATTTACTGCAGGCCAAGACCACAGAGCTGGTCAAACACAGTAGCTCAGGACACATACACAGAACAGTGATCCCCAGTCCAGGCTCTCCAGGCTAACAACACAGAATGAGAAACATTTTTGGAATGTAAGTAACAACTTATATTCATGATCTTATCCCAAGAAAATGCAAATGCCTACATGTTGAAGGCTCACACTTCACAAACCAAGCACTGTATCATCTTCCTCTCTTCTCCCTGCTGCAAATACATCCCAAATTTTATTCCATTTCATTCATATGGACAAAGGGAAGGGTTCACACAAAGAACACAGAGGAGGCCCTCATCAATGCAGTCAGTTAAATTTGGCTCTTCTCCTCAAAGAAGCTAACCAAAGCTGTATTTTTCTTAAATAATATAGGGTTAACAGCAAACAATATGTATGTGATTAGGCCTATTCCTGATACATTTGAGTGTCCTGCATTCTCTGCCACATGCTTCAGATAAGTCTCTGAACTACAGTGAGGTGTCCTCTATTGCTCTGTGGGAAGATGCTATAACCCTGAAATCTCCTGCAAGGAATTAGGTAGCATGTGAAGATTCTTCTAGTACTTCAAAAAACCCTCACCAAACATGTTTTGTCTTCTAGGGCTGAACCATTATATAGTGAAATAAAATGTCTTATTCATTCTGGCATTAGATTTCTCTCTACTGGTAAAAAAAATTCTGATAATTACCCAAGGATTAGCTGCTCTGATTACAGATTTGAAAGGATACCTAAAACCAATACTTTCCCTAGTTGAAACCATTTACTTTTTGTAAATTATGAACCATCCTGTTTCTCAGATCCCCATATTTTATACAAGAGATAACACAGTGCATGCCATACAGTGTTGACATACAGTGCTGATAAAATACAGCAAATAGCTGCTAGTCACACAGTTTTTTCATCAGTTGATAAAACTTTATCTAGGTTTGATTTACTGAAGTAGGCTTCAGCCTGGAGATGTTTTATTAATGGAAACAGAGGAGACAACAGTTTGCTGGCTCTGAAAAGGTCCTATCCTATTTTGATCGAAAACAGTGAACGTTAAGAAGAACTGGATTTTGATCGCTAACTGTATAAATAATAATTTATACAGTCCATTAATTTATAATGCCCATAATTTTTTACTACACTATGGAACTCTTGGGAACTTTTTAAGCAAAGTTCAGTGTTTAGAGATGCTGACACCTAAAGCTCCCACCCACTGTTAAGTTTCTCAGAACTTTTCTAAAATTAGGTGAAGAAACTCTCATTAAGGTGATTGCTGTTCATTCCAGGGTTCGCTTTTACTGAAAAATTTATACAAATGCTTGTGCATGTGCAGCAATTCTTTCACCTGCTGATTTAAAACTTATTAAAAATGCACTAAAAATATATATTAAATCAGACTCCTATTACAATCCTCCTGCTATTACTATCCTTCAATTACTGACTGAATAGAAGATATTTGAAAAAGCAAAGGAAAAATTACAACTTGTATCACTCTAGTAACAATAGTGACCTAGCCTAAACAAATAGATATTGGACCATAACTCATTTCAGCAATCCTACATATCACAGGTGTTACATTCGATCTGGAATTTTGAACTGTAATATTCCAGACAAATGTTTATTACGCCTCTTAGCTGTGCAGAATCAGTTATAAAGTCTACTTCTCACTTCTTAGTCAAACCTCAGTACTCAAAATACATTCTGACTAGCCAACTTTTGAGGAACTACAACAGAACACCATGCACCTGCCACTGTCTTTTCCTGACAAAGACCATTCTGGTTCCCCTAAACTTAGGGATAACTCGGACCAAGGCAACCCTTAATGGTTTGGAATTTTCTTAAGAAATGTTTAATCAACATATACTTAAGGCTGTCAAAAACTAGATAAGCAGACATGATAAAAAAGAGATTAAACTAACTGAAGCTGTTATTTTTTCTTTATCTTTGACTTATATTGGGTACTGCTATGTTCTGTATAAAAGAAATACAAATGCCATAAAGAAACATGTAGGTAGAGACAATAATATATATTACAATATTGCATGCAGTGACTACTATAGCATTGATTCTGAGCTCATTGCACTGAATAATATTACTTTTAAAAAGTGAAAAAAGAGTCTATGGGGTGAAGCAATTTCACAAATTTGAATGAGTAGAAAGTAGAGTCTGGATTTTGAACATTATGTGTCGCTCCTAAATATACAAATGCATAAATCCATAATAAAAAGGAAACACTACTGAAATATTTTGATTTGGTTGCTGGCTTTGGTTTTTTTAAATATACAAGTTATTTAGTTAAGGAAAATTATCTGTCATTTAAACATTACAACAGCTTTTTGTGAGTGCTGACTTTTTGACAGGTGTCCCAGCCAGGCTCGTCACTGATCTTGTATCATCTCGATTATCGCTTCTTTTTCGCACCTCACTGCAAAAAACAAAAACAAAAACAAATGTGGTCAATTAACACATTTTTATTCATGTTCGCTCTTCTATTTTTCCCTACTATATGTTGCAGAGTTAATCACCATCTACTATACAGCTAATACAATGTAAATTAGTATAGAATCAACATGTATCACAAGTTTCCAATTTGGTAATAATATTGACATTGCTATACAATTCATAGTGATAAAAATCTAAATTTTTAAAATATCTAGTAACTCCCCCATGTTCTGATTTATCTTCCATTTTCTTTTGAGAAGTGTTTCTTATTTGCTTCTGTATTTTACCATAGAAAAAGAGTATGTTCATAGCTCTAAGTATAAAACCAAATAACTTCAATTTCAAGTATAAATTTACTTTCATAGAAAAAATGCATGTTGTTGGATGTGTTTTAGAAATGCAGACTTAAAAGCTGTGCACATATAATTGATTATGGGTTACAGACCATTGGCCTTTCAAAATTACACTTTAACCAAAAATGGTTTGAAAAGGTAGTAGAATTGTAATATTTGGCTCACACACTATCATAGAAATACCAGAGTGCTAAATGTACATAAACACAACTTCTATCTTGTAAAAAATTTAGAGAAGCAGACATCAAAGAAAATATATGTAATCAGAATGTCCAGTAATAAAACTGAATACTTATTAATATGTGTAAAAGAAACAAAAAATAATTACACATAGAATTATTACATTTCAAAATAAATTATGGATGTGTCAAGAAAATGAATCCACGTACAATTAAAATTACAATTCATTCAGCAAATAGGTCTTAAAATTGTGGGCTCTGTAACTGAGTCCTGGTTTCAATACTCATTATTGAGAGAGCTTTGTAACATTTTCAAGCAAAAATATTACTTCATTAAACTGAGAATGCATCCCATCTTGCATTTGCCTATAATGATTTAACAGAGTATTCTTTTCAAATTTTTTTTTTAGTACTGGTACAATTTTAAAACTATATGTGTATCTTTCTATGTGCATTCACATACAATGTCCTTTTTATAAAATATACTCAGATGTGTTTCAGTAAAAATAGAAACAGTTACTTACCGAGCAAGATGAAGAACTGCTTCTACAATATTAGATCCATCTTTAGCACTTGTTTCACAGAATAGCGCATTGTAAGTCTGTGAGTAAAAATAAAATGTTAAGCTAACTGACCTGAGACGGTTCCCATGGGTACATTTAATTACAAATTGCTTCCTGAATAACACAAAGAATGACAGTACATTTAAATGAACAGGATTTCTTCTAGTGCTCTTTATTGTCCAACACATTCTCTTTAGTACTGTGAAATAAAACAGTAATTGTTTTTTAATTATTTCTGGCTTATAATCAGCATATTCTGAATTAATAAACTGAATAAAAGCCATATTGTAAGCTTAATGCTCAAACTCAATCTTCTTGTCCACATGACTGCAAAATATAAGAAAGTGTCCAGGACAGGTTACTTCATCTAACTTGTTACTACTGTAATTACACAATGTGGTTATTATAGGTTAACCAAAAAAAACATCATTCCATAAGTAACAGACATGGTATCTGCCCCAGTATAATCAATCACTTGTGCAAGCACTCAACCACTCAAGACCCTTAAGATACTTCCTCTTATTCTTTAAAATACAGGATTTGTACATCTCTTTCACCCATATAAATACATGCAAAAATAACTTGTTAACACTTCTATTTATGACAAAGAATTCCTTTTTTCTTTCGGCACATGTGGCAGGAATATAAGAGAGGCTCTGAATATGAAAATACTCCACACACAATCTGGACAGACAAGAATCAGTCAACAGTGTGCTTCATCTTTGAACTGGCAACTTCTATTCAGCAGCACAAAAACTCAGTCTTCCGTCCATCCACCTTTTTACGAGAAAGACTGAGAAGTCTTCCACTGCCAGCAATGCAGTTTAGCTCAGCAGACACAGAGATGTGATTTAATCCACCAAACATTCCTAAGACCATTTTATACTAATGAAGGACACTTGGACCTTACCATAGCCAGCTTTTCTCCATAGTTTATAGGCACACACTTTTGCCCTTGTTCCATAACATCTTGACGGAGATCTGCCTTGTTTCCCACTATCATAATTGGGATATTCTCGTGAGTCGCATCCTGTGAGGAGAATTTTATTCCCTTATTGCTAGAACACTCAGAATACAAAGAAGTGGCTAACATCATCATGTCATATCAATTTCCTTTCCACAAAGTCTTGCACACTAGTAGAAAAAAAACTGACAAACCATGAAAGCTATGCTGAGAACTTTCTATAAACCACTCAAAATGTAAGCAGTCAGCTTAATTATCAGCCTGCAAAGATGTGTTTCCATTCCCACAGTCCTTGTTTCCCAAAAAGGAATTTAATGTGTTAAGTTAATCTAATGCACCTGGTTACTGCATCTAAATGCTGTATGATGAAATTACTAAGGGAAAAGTAAACTATTCCTATACCATCACTAAAGAAAAATTCTTTCACAAAAGATGAACTAAGATTTTGCTTGCCACTTTCCCTCCTATTAAGCATCCCCAGCACAAGAGAAAAACCCCTTGAACTGAATGCAAATTCATATTCAAATAAAAAAATCAAGAAGTATAAGTAGAAAGAAATACTGAAAATTTCACTTGAGCTATAGCTAATTTACAGAATCTAATATATTGGTTTAAAATGCAAAGACTCCAAGGAATATTCAAGCCATCCACAAGAAGTTATCTGAAATATGTTACCACAAAAAGGAAGTGAATGGGAAGAGTCTCATTGCACAACATCCTTTAACACAAAAAGACATAGCAGAATGAATTCTAACCGAGTATGTCAGGATACGTTTAGGACTTCCAAGCAGCTTTTATTACTATGACAGCCTGCAGACTGGATAATTACAATTTACATCTAATATAATTTTATAAATAAAAAAACGAATAATGCAGTGAAACATAGCTTCTAAGTTCTAACATATGTAAGGGTCTTACCTCAATCATATCCACCCATTCTCTCACATTAATAAAGCTTTTTTCACATGTTACATCATATAGTAGTAAGACACCATCTGCTCTTCTGAAGTATGATTTAGCAATACTTCGAAATCTTTCAGAAAAAAAATAGAAAATTTGCATAAGGCCACATTATCAAACAATAGCTCAGTTTAATATTATTAAGTCTTTTCCAACATTAATGGTTCTATGATTTCATGATCCACCTACACATAACTTCCTAAACTGATTGGCTCGCTTTACTTCCTTTGAAAAGGATAGAAATCCAGTAAAATTATTTGAAGACTTCATGATCAATTACAGCCATCTCTGTCATGAACTTTATACAACTTCTCAACTAAGTACAGTAACTAGGTATTTACACTGGATATTAAAATATTCTTCACAAATTTATTACATGACAGGAGACTGATTGGATCCCTACCTACATACAGCCCAACACAAATCTTAGTCAATTAACATATTAAATTGACTTCCATGGCACTACATTAACCTCTTAATAAGCCCTAAAAGCTATCAGTAAAGAAGTAATGGCTCTCAAGTAAGGATGTCATAGGAGTTTGAGGAAACTACACAATATTTTGAAGAATCCTGGATATAAATTCAGCAATACAAAGATATTTTTGGCAAAATTCCAAAGTCTTTGGAAAGAGGTTTTTATATACTAAATACAATAGAATTGGGACCATGATTTTCAAGGAAAGAACAGGAGATGGGTAGGAAGGGAAGGGAATCTCTAAGAAAAAGCCTGCTTAAAAGTACAGGTGTATAAGAACAAAGAAAGCTAAACTAAAAACAGAAGAAACCATATGCATATACTCCATCATTTAGTATTGCCAAGGAGGGACACACAGATTTAGTTAATTAATCCTGAAGTGAACCACAACTATTTCTCTCTATAGTGAGAAAAGAATACCTCAAGCATCACTGAAGCTAACACATAAACATTCCATCTGTCTTGAGGTCTCAGCAGAGAAAAAATGCATCTGTTTACAGATGTTTACATATGGACCATACAATTAATGTTTCTTTTCATCTAGATGAAAAAAGGTAAATGACTTTTACAAACAAAAGAATTCAAATAAGCTAAGTGCAGAGGATCACTAACCTCTCCTGCCCAGCTGTGTCCCACAGCTGTAACACTGTAGGTTCTCCATCAACAATTAGTCTTTTCATTTGAAAATCCACACCTGAAAAGAATTATGTGTATAGTATAAAAAAAACCCATCAATAATTTTAAAGAAACCACAAAAATTTAAAAGGTAGGGGCTATATACAACAGTTTATCCAAAATTCATCTCTTTTAATAGGTTATGAGATTTCAGTCAGTCATCCTTGCATACTTCTGAACTGCAATAATCCCCTGAATGTATTTGCCTTTTCACAGAAGAATTAATACAAATTCCATTTTGAACAACAAGCAAGATATCTCTCGCTGCTTTATTTCATTAAACAGTTTTATCAAAGAAGTTAAAATGTTTTATAAAAAACTTGATTTTAAATACCAAGGAAAAAAAAAGATAAATTAGAACAAAAATCCTGATGAGGCAGTAAAACAAACATTTAAGTATGATTTGATTGGAAGACAAAATTCAATCTTTGGAATCCTTAAGATTTAGGTTTATATATATACAGAAGAAACCAGAAATCCTTCTAGCTGTATTTAAACAAAGCTTCAATAACACTTTGAAGAAATAGTATGAAAGACATCAAAGGGTAGTATGAAATACTAAGGAAAGAGGGAAGTGTTGAGAAAACAAGAAAGCAATGAAAAATGCAGAAAAGCACATACACACACAGAAAGTTCCTTACACTGACATTCCTCCTCTGTGCTTTGTGTTGTTCAGGAAGAGGCTTCATAAGGAAAAACTAAATTAGACCAGTACCCAATTATCCACTACAAACAGCTGTTATTACTAAGCTTTAGTACTCTATTAGGTTTCACAGCCTGCATGAGAAATTGTGTATGTCCCTAACAAGTAATCACAAAGGCAAAGCTTTTCATCCTCTTTGCTACAAAATAACAATGAAATTAATTTCAATATTTTAAGAACACCAACTATACCCAGAGTTGCACTGGTATTGCCTTGAAATTCATTCTTGCAAAATCTCATAAGAAAACTGGATTTTCCCACTGCTGCATCTCCAGCAAGAACAATCTTGTAAGCCTTCTCTGTACTGGGGTATTTTGGAGTGCATTCAGTTGCATCTGACTGAAAATAAAAATAATCCCTCTGTAACAACTCATAAAAAAATCCACCCCTTTGTATCATTCTCTTCCATTTTTCCCCTGAAGAACTGGTTACCTGAGGAGTGAGAGCAGGTATGTGTTTTCTTGTTGAAGCAACTGAGCTGCTTCGACTAACTGGTCGTGAGGGCTTCCAGTCTAAAACTACAGTGCTGTTAGCAGGGCTGTACACTTCTTCATCTCTGATCTCTGGAACCTGAAAATATGAGTTAGTTCTTTGGTGAGAAAAGTATGTTTTTCTGGAAAGCCACAGCTAAGACTGATGAAGACATTTTAACAGTTTGGATTAAACAGAGATAAATGAACAGACACAACTGTGCAATTCTAATCAAAATACTATGATAATTTTGTTCTTGTTTATTTCTCGTTCATAGTTTACTATAATCTACATTTTGTCTTTTAACATTTTTATTGTTTGGCATCTATTCTTTCAGTACTCTAATAGAGTAAACTAATTTCTATATGAAAATTTCAGCTTAAAACATAGTCACAATAACCAATTGAGACAATACTTTATTTCCAGCTTATTTTGCAAACATTAAGAATTTCCCCAAAACCATTACTCTTTATACTATTACTATGCAAGCTAAATTAAGTAGAGCACAGCTGTAATCAACATTATTCGTAGCCAAGTCTCCACAGAGATTAATGTCTACTAAATGCACAACAAACAATTTACCTTAAAAATAAACCATATTCTACTGTGCTTGATATTATTTTTACTATGCAGTTCTCAGAAACTCTTTCAGTGTTACTAATAATAAAACAGACACACCTTCTTAGATTTTTTTAATTCTCCAAGACCTTAGAATACTGTTAGCACACATTGACTTACAGGCTATCTCATACTATCTCCACTGCCACAGCACAGTAAGAGCAAGGGAATAGAAACGTCTTTTATTTCTGTCTGATTTTTTATCATTAGTTAATGAGCTCTTTTCTGCATACAGTTTAACAACCTTCAAAAATCACATAAACTTCAAAAATGAAGTTATTACCTCAAAAATGTATCAAGAAATGTAAAAACAAAAAGAGAACTACTTATACATTCTCAAAAAAAAAAAAATGTTCACTAATTAATTTAAATAAGGATGACCCAAATATTTACTTTTAACTGGCCTGTGGGCAAAGATCCATTTTATTTTAAAAACAGAAAGTTAATTTTGTCTCCAATCAAAGTCTTTTCTCAGAGACGAAATAAATCTGGCACTTACATCTGTTTCAGAAGCATCACCACCAAAACTTTCCTGCATACCCTGTGACCTTTGAAAAATCCTTTGATGCCTATATTCCACTTCTGAATCATACTCATTTGAATCTCTCAGGGTAGACAAACCACTGTCAAAACAGCTCTCAGGTAAGCTGTCAACTTCACAGTTTATCCTTTGCATTGGATCACAAAGAGCTAAAGAATCATAATCTTCATCGACACATGACGAATGAGATGACCTAATAAAAAAAATTGGAGGGGAAAAATAAATTATTCCATATAATAAATAACTGCTCTTCCCAACAAAATCTGAGCCTGTCTGGAATAGTCAATTCTTAGAAATGCTAATGTTAAGTTTAAGACATATGTCAATTCCTATCTTGCCTTTATAAAGGATTTCTTTCTCAATCATATGTCTTGGGATGCTCAGGTCAAACTATTTAAACTGTGTTACTGATGATGACTTTCCAAGTCTCAGTAATTATGATGATCTGGTAATTTTAAAAAGCCTATCTTAAAAAACATTCAGAAAGTGGTGTACTATGCAGACATAAGAAAAAGAAAAATGCATACAATGTTTTAGCGAATTTTGGCCTACTGTAAGACATAAAATGACCCTGACATACTGTATATCATTTAAATTAGTGCATTTGCTCACAGAGGCACGCATGCCAATAAGAAACAGCTATAAATATAGAAGATGGAGTAGCCAAGTTCAGGAGTAATGGTGGAAGAAGTCACTGAATAATTTTCTTACAGTTTAATAGACTATGCAAAACCTAAACTTTTTACACAGAATTTCTGTCTTTTCCCTTAACTTTCCTTTAAAAGTCTTTTTTTTTTTCATTCTGGATACTGTAATATAGAAAAATATTTTAATGAATGCTGCAATGACAGTATGGCTTACAGAAAAAAAAGGTTTTATTGATGCAAATAAAACCACAGAAAAAGGAAAGTTAATAGATTGAATCCTACAAAAAACAATCTTATAAAAAAGGTTACAATGGCTACAATCATTATCATGCTCCTTCAGCAAGACAGGGATAGGCATCAACTTAAGTGAGGCAGTAAAGGTCCCCAAGTCATAGCAGAGAAGAGAGGGTCTCGCTTAGCCCTGTTGGGAATGGATGTGATGCACTGACCTGCTAAATCAGACAAGGTCAGCATCACTCCTTGTAATAATATCTTGCTCCCAGAGGGGCTCCCATGTGATGGCACAACACAGGAGAATACACTGGTAAAATCACCAAATTATGAAGTTGTTACTGAGTTGAATTCCTCCCTGCACCTGGCCAAATGGGGGTAACAGTGGCATCATTGTCCTATGCAGTAACATTCAGAACCATCTAATTTACAACCCTTCAGGCTAATGAATAATCACATGAATGAATGTGATCTTGGCTGTAGGATATCAACACGCACATGGTCTTTGTATTCAAGCACCTACTAGCCATATCAAATCACTGAATTACTGAGGAAGAGTGCATGCTATAACAAAGTTAAGCTTGTCAGGCATTCCCTGAAATAAAGCTCTTTAGGAGGCAATTCTCAACTATACTGAACTATGAATTCAATGCTGGGAATTTTATATATGCTTAAAGCAAGTTAGATCCAGATGAATCTTACAGAAAAAAAAAACAAAAAACATACATTTTACAACAAATTGCTTAAAACATGTTAGTATACAAACCAATACCTATTAATGCTGATCTGACATCAGAAGAAAAAGTACTGAAAACACACAGGTTTTGGGACATTCATATCTCTTTTTGTCTTTTGATACTATCAAGTCACACATGTTAAGATTAAGCTTTATTCCTACCACATAAACTTTATTCTAAAGAGGCTTGTATTTCTCACTTTTGTGGAAATGCAAGCATTGCACCATGTGCCATGTACTAATAAATATTCATAAAAAACAACACCAGCTAAGCCTCCAGAGAGGTTTTAGTTAATCCCTCAGAAAATTACTGAATGTAGTATGCAGTTTAGCGTGGATGCCTCTAAAAATTTGCAGAGGGTCCAACATTAAGGAATTGGATTTATGTGCATTCAGATACAGGAAAGCGTTTCTGACAACCAAAACTTGACAACCAGCAAACACGTCTCACATGGAGACAACAGAATAAGAATGAACACTACTGAATGAATGGAGATATTATAAGTGTGAAGCAGAATTCAATTTAATTCCTATCCAAGATATTTTTCTTTCTGGCAGACTATTAAGACCTCTATTAGAGATCTCTCTATGGTTTGGAATACCATTGAAAGAAAAAGAAGATAATCTATCAACTGAGTAAGGACATACATTTTTGCTGATGGATCTAACTGTTTAAAAAAACAAGTGTGAAAGCATAACATGACAGCTGTCGGGGTTGCCTCCAATACCCACTGTCTTCAGCAAGTCTCTGAAATGATGAGGAAGTTCTGATCAATTATCTGTATCCAGTAAGTACAAAAATAAATACCTCTGACCATCTAATTGCATTTAAATAACTTACTGGTTTTGTACTCTTATCCCATTAATATCCAAGTGCATTCACTACTCTTGCATGTCAGAGTGAGATGAGGTGATTTGAAGAATCAGGCCCACATTTGTAATAATTATTATATGGGTAAAAAGGCACACAAGCTGAACATAAAACCAAAAATGTTTCATTTCTCAAGTACTGAGTAAATCTAACAAAGATCCTCAGAAGAGTAATATAGTTTCTTGGAGACAGAGACTGAGACTCAAACTATAATCAAAAGAGGTCAAGACCAGACAAGAGGCTGACCTCTCCATAAGTTTATGCCTTCTACTGAAGAGAGTTATCCTGAGCTTTCTGAAATAATTGATAAGATTCCTATTGACTTTAGTATATTTTGGCTCATATGCTATGGTCACACATTACTTCTAAATCAGACAGAACTATTCTCTCTTATTTAACAGTAATCTGCTCTTCTAAGTCATTCTCAAATTAACAAAAGCAAGCCTGGCTTACCTGTCATACCGTGGGTTTAAAGGAGAATGTTCACCATTAAACTTAGGACTGCTTCTAGAAATGGTACTTCCTGGTGAGGTATTTGCTAACCGCTACAACAGATACATAATAAATGTTGAGAAAAAAAGCTGGATGTATTTAATATATATTTCTTTATATTATCTATCTATCTATATTTAGCTACCTGCATTTAGTTAAACCTCATACTTTATATATGACTGAGGGTCAGAAGGCTTATTACCTATAGCATTTAGGTTTCACCACTGCCTTTATACTGAACGTACTAGACATGTTCAACCACAGAAGACAACAGAAATTTCCAAGAGGATGATTTCATTGACTGCGCCTCAAGACTCTGAAATGCTAAGCTTTGAAAAGTGCTATTTAGACCATTGCATGCTAAGACGATGTGATTACTGAAAAAAAAAAAAAGAACTGTCACTATCTGAGCTAGTTTCAGGAGACCTACCTCCTAGTTCTTGAGAGAGATGGCAAAGGAAAGGCCTTGACGAAGTATTTTGTACATTCTGCTGTGCCTCCATACATTTATTCACTGGAAACAGCTTCTTCTGTCTTCTCTGTAATATGCTAATTTATATTTCCAGGCATGACAATACAAAATGGTATCCATTGTTGTATCTGTAGTGAAGCTCTGGTAGCTTGTACCAGCAAAAAGCACTCATGTTCACTGGTATGGAATACTGGAAACAGGCAATGACCTGACTCCTATTTTCTTCCTTCCAGTCCAGTACTGTCTTTGTGAGCCCATTATTCTGGGCACATCCTTCTAAAAAAGCTATCTGCTTTAGTCATGATGCCCAATCATTAGTTTTAAGAGTTTTAACAGGTTTCACAGGATTGCAAAATGATGGTGTAGAGTAGGTTTTTTATTACTTTCAAGTCTTCCTTTCTCTAGTTTGGAGGATGTCAGGTGACATTTACTACAAGAGACTCCAATGCAGCTGAGAGCTCAAAAGGGTCTAACTAAGGTCTTTATTAGTAGTCCATGGTATTAATTTTCCCAGTGACTTGCCTGGACAAAAGTTCAATTTAGGTTAAGACCTTGCTACAAAAAAAGGGCAGTTTTCTGAGAAAGGGTATTGTCAGTGGTAGGACACTCCCATACACAACACAAACCCTTTAGCACAAGAGAAACTGTTGATTTATTCACCTCATTAAATATTACAGAATATTAAAAAATAGTCACCTTCCAAAGCACCTCAGAAAGCAGCTATACTGTAATAAAACTTCTATTAAACATAAGTAAAATCTAACAAAACTACACAGGAGTACTCCCACAGAGTCCACCGAATAAAACTCAATTTTCTGAGTACCCACTGAGGTACCAATTTAAATGTGCTGTGTTGATTCTTATACCTTTTATGACAATATAAAAAAATCATAAATACGTACCAATGATCTGTTGTACTTGCTGAAACTGTTTTCAAGTGCACTTCTTAAACCATCATTGCTGTCATGTAATTTTCTATTAGCTGATCTAACAAGGAAATACAGTTTAACTTGAAGAACTCAAGAAAACACAAAAAGCTATGTAATTACTCAAAAATAAAAATTTTTTAAATATTTCTAAAAAAGCCTTTTCTTTCTTTAGCTATACAGTAAAAAGTAACATGAAACTAGAAATACATTGACAGATACTCAAACAAATTTTCTGAAAAAAATCACTGTGAATTTTAGGCTTCAGTGGCAGGCCAAGAATCCCATTTTCACTTGTACAGCATGGTCTCTGGCCAGCTGAGTGGGAAAAAAGTTACTGTAGGAACAAAATGACTACTCTTTAAATATTGCTGAGGTGATTGTGAAGACAAATATAATTCATGTGCTTGAAATAAAGAATATGTTTAGGATGAGGATATTAATAAAGATATTTATAAAATCTATTAATTGTGACCCTTCTTGTGCACCTATTGTATAATAATGCACACTCTCAGTACTTTCCAGACAAGAAGACAGGGAGTTACTGGAGAACCAAAGCCAAAAGAAAAAGGAGTCAGGTAATAATTTTTATGATAGCATGGATAGACTCAAATTGCATTCAGCTTATTAGAAAGAAATGAAAGTTAGTGGGACTAAGGAAAGAAATGGAAAGAAACCAACTGAAGTGTTAGTGTGTCAGTACCACAGTGGAGTTAATACCACAATAACATTTGTGACAGTTGAGAACAATACCTTTTATGATAGTTTAGGCTGTTACAGTATTTTCACTTGGAACTTCTTCCCAAATGTCACCCCAATCTTTTGCACACAAAAACACTTATCCCAAATATGGCAGGACAAATTTTGATAATTAAAAACTGAATTTCTAAAAACTTACTGAAGTATTTCAATTTGTCTTTCCAGATTATCTCTGTCTTCAGTATACTCTCGGATAATTTCTAGATCCCTGGGGGAAAAAATAAAATAAAAAAAAAAACCAAACCAAAAATAAACACCAAACTTAAATGAACTTATACTTAACATCATATTCTTACATTTTTGCCATATTGCCTTTGGCAGAGTTCACATTTATGCTGAAATATGATGAGAGCATTTTTCCACAAAGTGATTTCATTAATCTCTGCCATTATAACTCAACAAAGAATGTGAATAAAAAATGAAAGTTGTACAAAATAACCATAGGAACTGACTCCTTTTCCCTTGAAATATAATTTGTATTATCTGATGATAACCATACAGTGAAACTGCCTTTTTTTTCTCCTTTAAAAGAGTAACTAGAAGTAGCATTCATTACTTTAGAAAAACAAATGGTTAAGACAGACATGAAAGGCTTCCTAAACTATTCTCCCTAATATTCATACAGATCCTCATGTGAATGTAAGCCATGAAGAAAAAAAAATGCTTGGTGCTGTACTGTTGTTTTATTCCTAATAAAGTCCCACTAAAATCAATGGATATTGTTGCAAGATTGTGAGTTAACATCATAGCCAGAACTTGTTCTTTTAGCAACCTAACAAGAAAAGTGAACAGCATTGATGACATGGTATCAAATATGTCCCTACCCTTTAGAGCAAATTTAGAAAATAACAGTTGCCAGCTGCATACATAATAATTACATCAGAAAATAGATTTTGTTTTTTTCCCTTGAAAATATTATAATGTAGAAGAAGTAACTTACCTCTCAGTGTTCAAAGACTGATCTGCATACTCGCTTTTCAAGGTATCTAATTCACTCTGTAGAAAAGCTATATTTGTCTGTGCTTCTAAGAGATCTTTCTTAAGTCTCTGATTTTCCTTCAAAAAAGGAAGATATTAGATGTTAGCTGCCATAGTCACCTCCACAAAATGTTGATATATTATAACAGTAGAATAAAAATCATCAAAGTTACATAAAAATGAAGCACTCCAAGATTTGGCATAGAGAGGGAAAGAAAATTAAAGAAGGCTAAATCAACAGAGAAGTCAGTAAATTAACATGAGAGAAACTCTTAACTTTTATTTTTCCATTCAGTTACAAAAAAAATTGGACCCCATCTCCTCAGGCTTTTTTTCAACTTAACAGATCCACATACACTTACCCATGACTTTAAAAGTTTACTTTCTAGACTACCATTACTAAATGTAAAAAAAAAAAAAAAAAAACGACAACAACAAAAACCAAAACCCAAATCCCCACAAGTATAAGAATCTGTATTGCAGACACTAAAACTGAGGCTAAATTAGTACGTTAATAATAATAATACTGTCTTACCAGCAACATATCATGTATTCTTTTTTTCAGTTCAACTACATCTTCCCTGTAGTTGACATACTTGGATTGTTCCTCCAGCTTGAAGTATTAAAAAACACACAATTAATGTATTTGATTGTTCTGATTAAAAAAAAAAGAACCTTATGGAAAACACAATAAATAGTCCTTAAAAGGCTTTACAGTTACTACAGTTTTTAAAACTTAAAGAGTTTTTACAAATGTACTAGCAGACAGAATTATTTCAAAAGTCACTGGCTTTCTAGAAAATTTATATGCATTTTGCACTCTTTAGGTATAAAATATTCATAACTAGTGACACAGAAGATAGCTGTTAAAATAGAAACAGTAACTCTAAAAAAATTATAAAAAAATATTACTACTTCAGGTATGTAACACTTGGACAAGAAGCCCTCATGTTTCTTGTAAGAAATTTCCATTTTTACAAATGTTCTTCTAAGTGCAATGAAATACAAAGCCCAAAAAATATATTCACTATGCTCGCTATAATTCTGGTAAAACTTACAGCAAAAACCAAGTTCAAAATTAAACCCATATTACAAAATATGATTCCTATCTGAGATTTCATTTTACTTTATTACTAGGTATCAAATTACAAGATCAGATTGTAGTTGAGTTCTAAAAGGCACTATACATAAAGTTGGGTACTAAATGGCATTATATGTAAATTACTATATCTGGGTTGCCAATTCCATCTTTATCTAAAAATTAGAAATACTTAGTGGCAATATATTGGACTATTTCTAATGGACCAAACACAAGACTAGGTAACTGCAATGTTAACAACATGATGGACCTAGAAAATTGTTAAGCTACAGAATTTAGGTAATAGTTGCTGCTCCCTTTCCTAAGTATTTCAACAAATTACACGGCACGAATACAAAAGCACAGAATGACAACACAACCTAAAAGTTATCTGCAGTTGCCATTTACTAATAAAAATTAATTTAGAAATCTACAATTATGATTATCTATCTTGAGGGAGGCATTTCATAAGGTCAAAATCTCTTAGAACACTTTAAAAATCTCACTAGACTTCAACTCACTTACCTTTTTAAGTCTTTTTATTGTCACCTGAAGATCCCCAACTTCAGTGTCATACTGGCGCTTCAGCTCATTTAGTGCTTCTTCAGCTTTTTGCTTCTCCTGCAATATTTTCAGTCTCATTAGAAGTTGAGACAGGTTTCAAATGTTTATCAAAAAATTCATTCATCAGTTTGGAAAGCACATACTTTTTACTCTGACAAATGTGTCCTTCCATGCTGTTCCTTCCTTAAGATCTATAGGTTCTGCTTCTATAATTATAGTCCACTTGTAAAACACTCACAGAAATAAAATAGTGGCATGAAAGCAAAGATAGGGGTCCATTCAGTATTTTTCTTACATGATTCCTGTGCTTAACATTCTCAATGCCACTTACTGTTTTACTTCTGTTCTTCTTAATTTTTTTTCTTGCAAGTGTTAGAACATTACAGGCCCATGTCAGTAAAACGCAAGCAGACAACAACATCTCTAGTTTTAGATAAATTGTACCATCCCAGGAACTGAGACAAGGGTGTGGTTTTACTGCTTTCTATTCAATACCACCCACATTACCATGATGGTCTCAGCAGATGGAAATGGAAGCAGTGCCATCTTTCACCAGAGCACATGGCAGGGTATGTGCCTGTATTTAGAGACTGCACCAAGTACTGCCCACGGAGATGTTCAGGGGTGAATGCCCTTTTGTGGGTCAAACACCCTCTGTCCCTTGTATATCCTACATTATTAATATTGCTGTGATTACTGCAGCCTTCCAGTAAACTGTAATTCTAGTTTGATTTCACTAAGTTTCCTCTATTACTGGAAGGAGCAGAGGGGGTAAAAGGTGACAACAGGAGCGGGTTTAACTTTCTCACTGTGTTTGAAACCAGCATAAGTGCTCAGTCTACATACCAATACCTGTATATGGTACTCAGTCTGAGTATCAAACCAATTTGTGCATCAATCACAATGAGAAGAATAGTGTGTGTGGTGTGCTATTGACCGGTGTGTTTCACTCACTCCAGTTGCTCCCCAGGGACTCCAGTTGCACCACACAAGAAGTCGGAATGCAGAAGTGGAGCCAATGAGACAGGTTGAGTTTTCACATGAAAAAGGCAGGCATGGATTTTGCTTTGAATTCAGAATTAGAATTTCCCGTAGGTGACATTGAAATTTATGTGTTAAAACGATAATCAAAGTAATCAATTCAAGTTGGATTCCCCTACTCTTGCCAACTACATAGACTCATGAGTATTGTTGGGTAACTGTTTGCTTCCCTTGAAGAAACAAAATACAGGATAGGCTCATGCAGAAGCGGGTGTCCCGGTGGCATGAGTGAGATCACTCTGACAAACAATAGCCTTGATTACAGACATTAAGATTAATGGCTTAGTACATTCCCACAAAGTAAATAACTTAACGTTTACTCTCAGGGCGTTTTAATAGGTGCGGTTTGTGGAGCTAGGAGCTACAAGGAACACTGGAGTGAAAATGAAAAAAGCTTTGTGAGAAACAAGTAAACAGACCATTTTTTATACCTATGGCTAGATGCAAAGAGTGATTGAGAATACAGACTAGATGTAGACAATACACAGAAGATTGACTTCTGCATAATGCCAGTACATAACTGTAGATGTTCTGAGTAAGCAAACAAACACATCCCAGTCATCTTTTTAAAAGAGTGCAAGAGGGTATTCTGTGGTTTTATTCAGTGATGTATCACTTTTTGAGGACAATAATTTTTCAGAGAAAATGTGTTTGTTTTCTAAACATTAACAACCTAGCTTCTCTGGAAATGAAAGCTTATCTCTACTACGAGCTGCATTACCACTAGTTAAACATGTTAAACCACACTTTTCTTTGGAGGTGTGATATCTTTAAGATTTTTATGCCATTATATTTTGTTTTTAGGAACACTTTTATGGTGTGGTAAGACTGCTTTCTCCTGTATAGGAAAAAACGCTATTTGAAGTAAATCTATCAGAATACCATTTACCTTCAGATATCAATTAGTGTGAACTACTTAACATCAGCAAGCTGGCAGACAGCACTTTGTTCCTTCTGATTCTGCAAGTACCCTGGTGAAAGAACCCCTAGCAAATTATATATAGAAGTTCAGGATACCATGTGTCCAACCAAGCAATAATTGTGCCCATAGTATATGTTTTAGTTAATGCATTTCTTATGCCCTCATTAGAATACTTTCACAAACTCTTATGCCCATATAAAGTTTGGCTTATCTTAAATGAACATAGTAACAATTCAAAATGAAAGAGGGAGCTGGTCTTGCTCCTTTGAATTATGCAGTCACATGTGGCTCTAATATACCTCTCCCTGGGTAAGAAAAGAGGATTTTTACTCCTTTTCATATAGACCACAAGCATGTTGAAACAACAGCTAAAACTGAGCAGATCAAAACAGAATTTCCCATTAAGTTTGAGGGCCCCAGAGGCCCTCACATATTGCTATCACAGTTACCCTCTCTTAAGTCTCTAAAATGTAGTTGCAGGAGAATGGAGGAAAGAAAGATCATTACTCTAGGCAGATATGCAAAGCAGGACCAAATAATTAAAGCATTAAATTCTACATAAATTATTTTACTAGGAGAACTAGATTGCATTCTTTAGTGCTGAAATATCATTTTCTCCAGTCTGTTTCCAATATTGGTCTCCGAAAGTAACTCCTCTTGGCCAGTATGTTCCCACAAAAGGGAAAGACTTTTTTTGCTTGGTTTATTATACCTAAGCAGATACTCTCTTTAGGAAAGCATTAAAATCATTCATTTTTCATCTCATATATAGCGTTTTTTCCATCCAGGCCCTGCCTACAGCAGTTTTGAGTCAGTATCAAATCCAGCCATATGAGCCACATTCCATATTCCATCAGGATCAAAATCACACATGGCCATCAATACTGCTTAAGATCACTGAGAGTTCAGTAATCATGAAATACTGTAAATATAAAATACTCACTTCCTTTTTAACTTTATGCTCTGCAGCCTGTATCCGTAGCTCCATCTCTTCCTCTAACTCACTGAGTTGAATCGCTGCTTTGTCCTGAGCTCTAAAATTTAGAAGAAAATATTTGCTTAGGAATTGGCCTCCAGCTTGAAAGAAACACTGTGTGAAACACATCTGCCTACCACAACTGAAACAAATTAGACAGAAAGACAGAGAACAGTTTAACATTGCCCAGACCTTGAAACTGGTGCAGCTGGGAACCTAAATCCCAAATTATTTTGAAGATACTGGCAAATTAGATTTTAATAATAGCTGCAAGCTGATGATTAGCATGAGATACATCTGCATTTTTAAAATTAAGTTACAAAGATAAAAGGTGCCTCTCGTTATCGTATGAAGAGACTTCAAAAGCAACTTGCATCACCCACACATGCAAGATATCTGTTCTGAGCTAATCTGTTTGGTTTTGTCAGTTATGATGTGAGACTGACAGTGTGAAGTAGTTAAAACAGGTAAATACAGTCCTTGAAGCTCACGAAGCAAAAATATTATCTCTCAAATGAAAGTACAGCAGACACGTATGATAAAATTCAAAGTTGCAGCCAAGGAAGAGGAGTCAAAATGCTTTAAGGCATTTAACTAACAACAGAGTCTGCAAAAATTTGGTCCAGAATTTATCATATAAACAGGTAATCATTTGCAGGTTGCTATATGTGCTTACACACAAGGGCCTGCACACAAACTAACTTCAAAACTCAGTTTACATAAATACTTTGCATGGCATGTTTTGGCATTAATTCTCAGTAGTCTAATCCAAAGAAGCATGAGAAGAGAAATAAAAAAGAAACTGCAGAACTGAACTAGAAACAAAATTCACTATACCTTTTTACCGCTATGGCCAGAGTTTCCATCTCTGTGCTTTGAAGTTTGATCTCTTGGATGAAGTTCTTAATGACATGCTCATATGGCTGGATTAATCTTGGTTCTGCTATGTGTATATTCTGATACAAAACACTGACCTGCTCTTGTCTGAAAAAGAGAGATATGCACATTTTAATGCACTTACTTGGAACAATGTTCTATTGTAGTTTTGAAAAACTTACTACAAATTAAGATATTCTGCTCTTTGACTATTTCAAAAATTTAGCAAGCTAGATATAGGCTTTCAACACTCAGTACAGTATGTCTAAATTCTTGAAGAGAATGCCACTGGAGTAACCCACAATATATATCAGGTTTCTTGATTGTTCTAATGTTAATCATAATCTGTGAAGAAACCTAAGCTTTCAGGAGGTGGCATAAGAATTGAAAATGGGTATGAATGCCAACTACCTAAGTTAAAAGAGGAAGGAGATAGAGAGAGGTGGGCTGTAGGCAAAATAAGAATACAGCTCTTCAGTTCCACACAAATTATTCTGGTCTATACCGAATCAAATTTGTCATTGTAAGAAGTTAATTCTGTATATGACTGTGAAATTCTGTATATGTCAAGTGAAAAATGAGATAGATATCTCATAAAGAAGAAAAAAAAACATTCCTGTATGAATTTTAGTTGTTAAAAGCTCTCCTGAAATTCATAGTGAAAAGTTGCCTCAATGCAGGAATAGTATATTCTGATTTCTATTTAATCTGGATTAATTTACATAGATTGCATACTGTTCTAATTGTCAGAGCAATGAACCTTTACAAGATAAAAAAATAGCCTAAGAGCAAAACCACTATTACAAAGTCTACTACATAAAAAGCACTGATTTCTGTTCATGCTACTAGTATGTCATGCAAACCTTTGTTTCACCTGCTAGGTTTCCAATTCCTGGATTACATTAGGCAACATACCAGAAAATATTCTGTAACAGAATTTAGCTGTCCTAAGGAAAACTGAATGTGATTGACATAGACTATATACTAGAACATGAACAGTATTCAACAATTTAAAAACCAAATGGAAAAAAGGAACAGAGAAGATGAAGTCCAGAAACGTGGAAAAAACAGGCCAGTAATGAGGAAATGCAAATTGTCAGAAGCAGAAATACAACCAGAAACAATGTTTTGCAAGTTCAAGCCTAACACCATATTAACATCACAAATACATGCCCTCTTTTTGTTGCTAACAAAAGCTTGAACCCTGATTAAACAATCCTCCTTGTCAGACAGCTGAAGTTTTCCTATCTTCAGTGAAGGTAGTGCTATTTAAAACATTCACCATAAACATTATACCAACAATTCTGCAATTCAACAAGTGTATATTCTCTTAATTTTTTTCTCACTTCAAGCAATTCTACAGCTTTGATTATCAATGCTGCAGGACTCTGCTTCGTTTATGTGCTTTCTCCACTGAAGGTCGAACTTTATTAAAACAGTACCACAACTGTTACTATAGCTCAATTCCCTTTTTAACAATTTAACAACTTCAGGATACTGTAAAACTTGTTTCCAGCTGAAATGTTGACATTCATTTTGAGCTAGAGAAACATAAAATCAGCACAAAGAGATAAAGATTTCCTGATGCCTGAGAAATTTCTATGTACATACATGTTTTTGTGTTGCAAGGTATTTCCTTTACAAAGATTAATCCTGTATTACCTGTATTTAGTAAGTAAAAAAATCTTCCAATGTATGCACACAATTTCTGCACAAAATGTATTCTAAAGAGAGTAATGTTGAAGTTCACAAACAGTAGCAATAATGAACAGATTTATCTGATCATCAGGTGCTACAAACTTGTATAAATAATGTAACATTAAAGAACTCCTCAAATGTATATTTATTCAATTAATGATTTGCATTTTAAAAACTGTTATAAGGACATTTCCAGAATCCACCTGGAGGCCTGTAGTCAGTGGCATTCTCTGGGATCAGTACTGGAACCAGTCTTGTTCAACTTGTTTATCAATGACCCAGATGAAGGGATAGGATGTCCCCTCAGCAAGTTTGCTGGTGGCACTAAACTGAAGGAGTGGCTGACCCACCTGAAGGCTCTCCTGCCATTCTGTGGGACCTTGATAGGCTGGAGAGTTGGGCAGAGGGAAACTTAAAGAGCTCAGCAAGGGCAGGTGCCAGGTCCTGCAGCTGGGCAGGAACAGCCTCAAGTGCCAGCACAGGCCAGGGATTGTTCCTACAGAGCAGCTCTGTGGAAAAGGACCTGGGAATCTTGGTGGATCACAAGCTGTCCAAGAGCTGGCAGTGTGCCTGTGCCAGGAGGGCCAAGGGTATGCTGGGGTGCATCAGGAAGAGCATGGCCAGAAGGTCGAGGGAGTTGTGCCTCTACTTGGCCCTGGTGAGGCTGCAGCTGGAGCGCTGTGTCCAGTTCTGCCCCTCAGTAAAAGAGAGACAGGGAGCTTCTGGAGAGGGTCCAGCAGAGGATCACAAAGATAATTTGGAGTCTGGAGCATCCCTCTTATGAGGACAGACTGCCAGAACTGAGCCTGTTTAGTCTGGAGAAGACTGAGTGGGGATCTCATTAACACATATAAATATCTGAGAGGTGGGTGCCAAGAGGATGGTGCCAGATTCTTTTCAGTGATGCCCATCAACAGGCTAAGAGCAGTGGCCCTAAACTAAACTAAACTAAAACAGAGGAAGTTTCACCTCAACATGAGGAAAAGTCTCTTTGACATTGAGACTGGCAGAGCACTGGAAGAAGCTGCCCAAAGATACTCTCCCTCTCTGGAGACATTCACAACACACCTGGCAAGATCCCTGTGTAACTTGCTCTTAGCTGACCCTGCTTTGGCAGGGAGGTTGGACTGGAAGATCTCCAAAGGCTCCTTCCAATTCTTTTCAAAGTATATGCAAACCTGAGATCAGTTACTTGGTGATAATAACGCCAGGTTGTGGGTCCAGTACCTGTATGGGCCATTCATTTTAGAGTTGGCCTTCATGATCCTTGTTGGTATCCACCAACTCAGAATATTCTGTGATCTGGAACTACACATGCCTGAATTGAAGATAGAAACCAGTAGGTCTGTGATGCTGACCCTCTGCCACACAGCTAAGTCTGCTTTAAGATGCAGTAGTCAGAAACCCAGAGTAGTTACTGTGAGGTTTTAGTCTCCCTCTGGGATTAAAAAAAAAATATATTTCATATCCCTTTTTAGCCCAATGACCAGAGACCACACAGATGGATTCAAAATATTTCAGTAACATATTTTTAGGAAGCAGTACTTAGGTTAGGAAGTCAACCGATATCCATACAACCCAACCATGCAGGAGTCTGGAAAGGGCCTGGAAAGATCACAGCTGGTCACTGAAACTCTCGATTGATACTTATATGAGTGCTTCTACAGCAATGATAGAGGATGTCTTAATTAAAAAGTAGGCTCACAACTACCACATCAACTGAAAAAAAATCACAAAACACCACCAAACACAACAACAACAAAACAGATGAGAAATCAAAGACAGGCAACAAAATTAGCAGGATTACTTTATCACCTATGATTTCAGGAAGACATAATACACTTACATGAATTGGAAGGATTGTCAGTGATGTAGTCACTCAAAGTATCCATGAAACCATGATGAAGGCAGGCAACAATTATATGGACTCTATATCAACATGCAGCAAGTATTTGCAGATTATTTGCTCCAAATTGCCATTTTTATATTTTTAATCATTTCTCTGTTTTCACATGCTTTGGTGAATATCAGTAACACTGCTGCAGCAGGACAGATTAGCTGCAATGAATATTGCCCAATTTGTTTGTCGCCACTTCTTCTTGAATATATGCTATTTCTTTCTGCAAATTCATTAGTTATTCAAAATTAATTATCAAAGAAGATTTTACAAATGTATTTCACCAAGGTGACTTGAACTCTGAATAGTCTGTCCTTTTGCTAGACAAAATGCTTCAGCAAAATTAATCTCAAATGCTTGGACTTGCTCTTTAAAACTGGCTTTCCTTGAAATTCTAAATTCATTTTTCAGTGTATTTATCTGCAAACCTCTAAGTTCCACACTAACACAGTTGTTTAGTGTGAAACTTAAAGGTATTCACAAATACTAATGCATAGAAAAAACATTTTTTAATATATGCCATGAAAGTTTGTCACTTTGTTCATCTGGCACTATGGTTATACTACTCATCATGCATGCATTTATTTCTGTTGCTTCTGCAAAAAGCAGACACGAAACTAATAATCCACAAAAAGTACAGCATTGTGGCCAAGGACTACTTTGGCTTTACCTTACCTCATCTCAAAGGTTTTATAGCATAAACCATCTGTAAAATTAGTACTTAGTAAGAGTAATTGGTCAATATTTGCACAGCTTCACATGAGTTAACTTCAGCAAAGTTACAGTATTCACATGATTTCAGAGAGTTCCTGTGAGACTGCATAAAGAAAATAAAACTGCTCTGATTATAATGCTATTTCTAATATGGCAAGTTTAAAATACCATGGTGGAATAGAAGAGGAGAAGAAGGGAGGCAGGGAGAGGACCCACACCAAAAAAACCCACAAACATTGATTTTGGGCATATCAGATATTTAGATTATGTTGTGTTATAATTTCCTTTAATCCACACAGCTATATTAACCCTTATCAATTCATAGTATTATTTCTGGTTTGCTGATTAGACAGTGACCATTTGCCTAATAATCCACACTCTGAATACTGTTCAGAGAAAGATGATGGAATTTTTCAACTAATAACAACTCCAGAGTTGCTCAGTATCTTACATGTGCTCCCTGTGTAGTCATCCAGTCTGACCCTAAGGGCAGTATTTGGTTTTACAACACTATTTTAATGATCCCTTTCCACTGTAGGTCAGCTGGTAAAATTGGTCTGATCACTTGTAGAAGTTCTGTTCTGGTATGGACATGAAGAGATGAAGCATAAGGTAGTCTGAGCTGGGTGGTTAGAACAAAACAAAGCACTATGCATCTGATAACTGTCCTTACACTGGAGACCAACAGCCTATGTGTGTGCCTCCAAGAGATAAAGAAGTACTTTTTTCTGAAAAGCAAACACACTGGACATGCTGACTGGTAAGTCTAGATTGAGTGCCTGAACGAAAAATAGATTACACAGAATTTTAACATGGTGTAAAATTCAAAATATTTGTGAACTTGAAGCACTATGGGTTTTTTAATACTACCTTTTCTTTTTCTGTATCTGCCCCTTCAGAAACAGGGTTCATTTAGGCTGCATTAAAAGAAGATGTTCAACTCAGTAACCCCCAGATGAGACAGCCCAGCGAAGGTCTGATTCCCAGAGGAAAGATTTTTAATGTTTCCAAAGCATGAATGCTGTTCCCTTAGAGGTGTGATTTAGAGCCAGTGGAGCAGCAGTGGAAAAGTCTGTGGGACAGTCAGGGAAAGATTAAGTGTGGAAAAGGAGAACACCTCAAAGACATTATGGCAAATGATCACATGATGATACTAGGAAAATAATCCAGGAAAACAAATGCTACAGTGCTTAAGTTAGTTGGGACAGATGCTGTTTTGATTAAAGCAAAAATCAGAAGAGCAGTAAAACTTAAGGTAGCTCAGAAAGTCTTCTAGCCCACAGAAAGGCATTCACCACATTTTCAGCAGAAGAGATCTCCCCTCCAGCACTGCGGCAACAAAAAAGGATGCAGCATTTGGTTTTCCTGAGGATTTTCCTTTAACCCCTCTCCAGGGAACATGCTTCAGCTTCCAAGGAAACCTCTCCAGTTCTGACATCATGGTTCGTCATCTCATGACAGTAAACACAAATTGCTGACAAAAGTTAATACCGCGCTCTATATTGACTTCGGCAAAAATTTATGACAGCAAGACCAAGACACATTTTGGATGGGTTTTTTATGCAGCAGAGCTTCTCTTCTTTGCTGTAGTACAGCAGTACATCCTATGAGCCTCACCTGTTTTCACACTTTAAGTAGCTCACGTTAAGAACAGCATGCTTTTCTCATTTTATCACATCCCCCAGATCCACATTTTCTATACAACTCCAGATGACAGGACTGGGGGCACACTGTTACATAATCACATTAAGAGACTTTGGAATTGTATGAGGCATAAAATCTCACAATCAGGCAGCACTGAAATCTGAGTCTGATGAATAGTCAGCTTGGCTGAAAGTACAAGGCACAAAAATAAAACAGACCCAAAGACTGAAAAGCAAAGCAATTGAGTATGAGGCCTCTCAGTGGCAGCAGATTTAACTAAAAATAAGGATATAAACTTTCTACTTCAGATTAATCCACCCATTCATGCTCCAATTAATTTAGTTCATTTTCCAATAAAATTATCCAATTTGCCAAATATTGCACAAAAGTTGCCTGGCAGGGCTTTGACAGTCCCAAGCCTTTGTTCTTCCTGACTGAAATCTTTGACATTGAAATTTAAAAATCTGTTTTCTAGGAAGTTTTTTTGCCTATAATTTATATAGTGAGAAATGCCATAGCATTCTTAAGTACAGGATTTTTCTTATAGTGTCAGAGGATGTTAGATTATTCCTTACTCAAGTTGAGGAATAGAAAAGGATTGCCATTAGACATGATTGACATTCCCACGCACTTAAAGGAAAACATCATTCTATTAGGAGCATGGATGGAACCTTTTAGTCTTACCACTGAGGTTGGCTACAAGAAAGAATGCAACATCCAGTTACACCATCAAGGGCTAAACACTTCCAGTGTGGCAGTGCATTGAAGCACTCACTGTCTGGAGCACCAAAAAAGTACATTTCTTTTTTGTCCACTACTGTACCATTGCAAATACTTCCTAGAAGAATAAACTAACGAACACGGCTGACTTCTCAATAAAACAGATCTCCAGCTGGCAATTCACTATAAATACATATAAACTAAAGGCACTGCATGATTCTATGTTTAATTACTCACTATTCCTGATTAAATGTAACAATGCAGAAGGGTAAATGCATTTCAAATGAAATTAAAAACAAACAAATCAAAACAGCAACAACAAGAAACAAAAACAACAATCAACCCTCTGTACAATTCCACTAAAGTCTGACTTCACATATTAGGTTATCAGCCTGGAAAGACCTTCCACCATTTTTTTTCCTAGAGGCAAATTGCCTACTAAGCACAAGTAAAGGCTAAGGCAAACAATGCTTCGACTCACAGTACCTTACCAAGAAATCTAACTTAATTTAGTCAAAAAAAAAAAAAATCTGTTCAAGTGAGGAGGAAAGGAGAAGACTGTAAAGAAACCCTTTAATGTGACTCTGCCTGTTTAATTGCAAACAGTAAAACCACAACTTCAGCACAGACTTAAATCTTTTGAAGTATAATCTAAAAGAATTGTGCAACTGATACACCAAACAGCAGAGGTATGATCCATCCTATAATAAAATTACCTCTTGCAGAAAAAGTAATTAAATTCAAAATACAATTCAAAATTGTAATATATGCTAATTTTAGTATCTGCTGGTAAATAATTTTGCATTAAATGGCTGCTACTACACTGAGGACTAGGGCAAGGTATAGACCTGTTACTGGGTTTCACACCTCATTATGGAGGGTATCTATGCTTTTTAAAAGTTCAGTCACAGAAACTGAACTTTCAGTTTCTGAAACCACTTGTATCGTGGAACTTTTCCCTTTGATTTCCATGGGTATTCACTCAAGCTGAGGAGTGATAGAGACCACAGGTGTTTACTGTGGCATTTTCTCCTGACTTCAACCCTTATCTCACTACTTCCATTTGCTATGCCTTGTTTCTCTCTGTGTAAACCCCAATAGCATCAAAGCACATGTGCCAGTGTCTTGCTAGTCTGTTGCCACAAGGCAGAGCATTCTGAGGAACTGAACCCCAAAATGACCAAGATAAAAACTACACAACTGAGATTAAAAACCATGGACTACCAGCTGCACTCATCTGGCTTTGAGAAGTTTCTCCTTTGTAATTACTTTTCTCACAGATGTCGATGTCACAAGTATATGAAATCCCAGCACAAGGATGCCAACTCTTTCATAGCATGATGCAGGTGTGTCCCAAGCCAGTTCTAGTTTTCAAAGTACTGCCTTTTCCTGAATAAAAACTTGAAGTGATAAACAACTAAAACAAATAATTTAAATAAAAAAGATAAATCTCTTTTTTGAAGTCCAGCTTGTACTTTGTTATATTTTTCTGCTTAAGATTCCTAAAAGAATTTCAATTTATTCATTACTCATGTAAGTGGTCCTAATGATTTTAGGGACTACTCACATGGGAAAAAAACCTTACAGATATGTTTCAACAAAAAAAAAAGACATGAGCTACAAATGGAAAAAAAAAAAAGTTGAGCTGTCAAACAGACCTGGTTCTAGCACTTCAGGATGGGAGAGAGAAAAAACAGAGGGCACACTGTTTTTCAGCTGACACTGACACACGTTTAATGAATACAGTCAACTGTGAAGGATGTCCAAATCTGAAACTGAATAAGAAACATTTACATCAAATTACTGCCTATCTGATACTATTTAAGCATCAAAACTTAGCTGGTTTTGGTTTTTATGTAAAAGAACCATAACACAAATTACATGTCATGATGAATTTAGCAAAACTACCAGATGTACCTGCATAGTGCAGCCAGTTAAAGCTGTTCTCCTTCCTATTATCCTTTTAGACAATCAGACTATACTGCAAGTACTGCTGCAAACAGTAACCAAGATACTGAAACAGAACTATTACCAAGATGAGACAGATGCTTTCACAAGTTACTAGTGTTCATGAGTCAGATTTTTTTTTCAGCTCCTATTGAGTTTCTGACTTCAGGTTATTAACTGTGTCAGCAAGCTTTCAGACAGTCTTTAGAAAGCAAATGTCTAACAGAGAAAGCACCATGAACAAATTAAGACCTGTACAAAATTACTGATCTGTCTGAAATGGGGCAGTCCAAAAAGACTAAAGAGTAGACCAGAAAGAAAAGAAAATTTACTCCAGATGTACACATGAGTAGTAGGTTAAGTAACTGAAAAATTCTCTGAAGAAACTTTTTGCCTTCTAACCAAAAATATTTTTAATGTGGGTGGAACCAAATTGGTATAGGTTGGAATTTAAGGAGTATTACATAGAAAAAACACAGAGACAGATTCATGTGCATGACTTTTTTAAACTTTCTTGACTAGCTGCCAAGTCCGGAAACTCCAATTACTTGTTTCCCACCATAAATTACAATTTTAAAATTAAGGAGAATCACTCTGTACTTTCTATGGCCAACATTTTCATATTAATTTTGAGCACCTCAGCTTTCAGGCAGATTCCTGAGAGTGACCAAAATTCATCTCTGTACACGGGAACCAGTCCCGTACTAAACTGATTTAATCTCCAACAAAGCTACCATCAGTTGTCTTCACTTCACTGAGACCGAGGACAAAAACTCTCACAAATCTCAGCGAGCTCATCAGACCGAGAGCTATATTTACCAACACCGTTAATGTGGAGGCAACGATGTTGCTGGTCAGCCTTTACCAGGAAAAGACTGACTGGGCAGGAAGAAAAATGGTGGGGGCTGGTCGGAGAACAGCGCGAGGGAAAAGTTCCTGCGGAGCCGGCAGAACTTTACATCTCCTGCGTTCTAGCAGCCAGACTTTCCCACGTGGGTCGCTGGCGTAACAAAACAGAAGAAGCCAGGAGTGGCTGCAGGCTGGATAACAGCGCTGGAAACCACCCCAGCCGGGAAGCAGGTGTGCGGAGGGCTCTCTACACCTGCAGGCACAGGGGCCGAGGGGTCAGGCTACTCGGCCGCTCCCCAGCCGGGATTGCATCAGCGCCGGCGGCGGCTCCGCCAGGAGGGCCGCTCCCGCCGGGGCTCGGCAGCGGCGGGGCCGGGGCGCCCACGGCTCCGACAGCTCCAGCCCAGCGTCGGGGTGGGACGGAGTGGGCGGCTCCGGACCTTACCTGGGGATGTACCTCGCCTCGTCCCCGAGCCGCACCTCGAAGTCCCTCCAGGGTTGTTCCAGCCCCGCGGCGACCCAAACCGCTGACGCCTCTTCCTCCTCCATGCCCTCGCCGCTCGGCTCGCTGCCAGCGGGCTGCGGCCGCGTGGCGCCGCGGAAGCCGCGGGCGAACTCCGGGAAGGTGATGGCCCCGTCGCGGTCGCTGTCGAGGCGCTGGAAGATGGCCTCGGCCTCGGCCGGCTGCACCCGCAGCTCGGCGCAGAGAGCAGCGAAGTCCTCCCGCTCGATGCGGCCCGAGCCGCGGGCGTCGCACGCCAGGAAGAGGGCGCGCAAGCGGGACAGCTCGTCCCCCGCCGCCTCGGGATCCATCGGCCAGCGCCGGGGCCGCGGAGATCGGCCCGCGGGGAGAACGCGCTGGGATCGGGCGGGCGGCTGCCCTACCTGCGGCTCAGCGGGGCGGGGCGGGTCCTGCTCCGCCCTGCGCCCCGCGGGGCCGGGCACGGCCGGGAGGCGGAACGCAGGTGGCGGCTCCTTCCCGGGGCAGGTCCCGGGCCGGGCTGCTGGCACCCCCGGGGCGGTGCCGAGCCGGCGCCGACTCCGCTGCCCCACGGAGTGCCAACGGCACAGGTAACTACAGACTGCAACGTAGGGCAAAAACTACGTCTCACCCCCCTGCAGCACTCAAATGTGAGTCCTGATACTATGCGGTCACCTTAAGGTGTTAAAATTAAACCTAACTTCCGTTTTCCAACATAATAAAAATACTCTCTCTTCATGTTCATGGAAGACCCAGAAACCACATGATGACACAAAGTTTGAACAGATAAATTCTTGTTGGCACGAATAGTCCTGTAAGTTATACCTTGTGGGTATGTGCCCACAGATGTCTCACCACCAGTGTTAAAATACCATCTTAAACTAAAAATACAAAAGATGCATTCAGATCAATAAACTAGAGGAGACAGCTTTTCAGTGCTTTCTGAAGAACTAGTGTCTTTCTTGACAGAGAAGTCAAGACAAGAAGACAGAAATCTTCAAAACAGGATTCATGATATATTTCTTGTTGAAGTCGGACTCAAGACTCAGATTTCATTTGAATCTAAGGGATATTTTAAAATTATTATTTATTTCCCTACTCTTATTCTTGTTTATGTCTATCTGCAAATGTAAATTGTGTTATACCACAGTGTGATAAACAGACTAAAAATCTAATGGTCAAAACAGTATTTCCTTATTGACCACAACATAGCCTGATTATGTGATCTAGCAAAGCACAAATAGTCTATCTTACCTCTCTTCAGAATGAAGCACATTGGGAATGATTAAATACTCCTTTGCCAAAGATGTGAAATGTCCTCAAAGGGCATTTTTACATTGTAACTCTTTTTTTTTACAGATTTTGATTATTAATCCATCAGGATTAGGCAGACAGCCAACAGTCTTCCTCTAGACAATAAAGAGCTTTGTAAAATGTTACCTATACTTTAAGGAAATATAGCTGTTAAGCAATTTGACATATAAGTTTTCGCTTAAAAGTATGAGTAGTATGAAGGCTTAAATTTATGATTTTGCACATTTTTTATTACATTTCCACCACACAATTGCAAAACTACAAATAATAGTGAAGTGGCTCATCATCAGTTTCTTAGTGTTTTAGTAAAATAGAATTAATTTAACAAAAGTATTCTTCCTGTTCTAGGGTCTTTTATTTATCCATCAAATTTTTATAACTAAAGTGTGTCATGGAGCCCTTAAGGGTTGATGAAGGGTTGTTCAGCCATCAAAAGAGAGAAACTTCTCTTGCATATAAAACCCAGCTCTGTTTATAGGAGCTGGGACATTTGGCTTTCAGAGTAGACAAGCTCATGAGGTGAACTGGAACAGCCTCATCCTGTGTGTGAGGTCTGAGTGTGTCTGACTAGCCAGACAGGGAGTTCCCACTCAAATCAATGTGCTCACCTTATTTGCTTTTTTTTTTTTTTTTTTTTTTAATGGTTTGGGTTTTTTTGTTTGGTTTTTTTTTTCTTTCTTTTTTTTTTCTTTTTTCTTTTTTTTCTTTTGTGCCTGCAGATTGAGTTGACATTGGTCAGCTATCCTACCCACTCTTTTACATACTCTTGTGTGCATCTTTAGTGATAGTCACTACCTTGGGCTGCTAAGCAAAGGGCATAGACTTTGGACATGTAGTCCCTGTTGGGTTTTTTTTTATTTTCTTTTTCCTGTTACATAATTTTTGTCACACAAATCTCAGACACTGGCATGAAGCACAGTGTATCATTTAGCACTGCCATGGCATAGGTATGTTCTGCAAAAGAGATCATGCTTGCAATAGTTCATGATAGTACACAGCCCATGCTTGCTTGGCAGGCCATGGTTTAGTTGAATTTTTCTGACACAACTGCACAAAGATAATAAATGGTTTATTTGTTAGCACCAAAGAATGAGTGGTAAGACCAGGATTACCAGCAGGCAATGGCAAAACAATGCTTTCTTCTGAAATCATGTCCCTTTTCTCAGAACAACTTAAATAAATATGCAAATACAAGGCATTGCTTATGTAGCATAGTAGTCTTCAATTCATAAGAGAAGTTTTAAATTCATGCATAAGATACTGAAGATACAGATATACCATGCACTAAATTTTCAGTCCATCATTTGTTTTTGCTTTACTGTGCCATGAAACTCAAAAGTGAGCCCAAGCGTCTATTTGGCTGAAGAGGCAGAAGAGAAAATTAAATCATTTTCAGGAACTTTAGAGAGACCTAAGGCAACAGAGGAACAAGAAAGGATTCATTGTATCACTACTAAAGAGTACTATTGTACTGAGTGGAAAAAGGTGGATTTTAACACTGTTACAGAGATTGAAGTTAAGTGTTACAGACTGGAATAGACAGGTAAACCAGAAAAGAAAGGAGTGGCAACACATGACAGCAAGACCTATTGTCCCATGAAGCAAAAGAGCAGAGGAGCTGAGCTGACCACTGGGATAAACTATGGAACCTTGGAATGCTATTTGAACTTATGCGGTCTCTGAAGGTAACTATGCAGAGCTATGCAGAAGTCCCAAAAAGCTGGAGTGCTGTGCTCCAAGCAGATTCAATGCCTGAAATAGCAACCTCTTCCCATCCCTCTCAATATACTGTCTTAGGAACCTTACATACATATTAAAGGAAGATTTTTAACTTGGAACATCAAGCATTTAAAAGTTAGGAAACAGGACATAAATTGGAACAACTATTCACTGATTTACTTTTTATCATTTTGTTTATGGTCTTGGGCTTTATCTACAATAACATCTAAACTGTTCTGATCTTCTACTGAGGATAGAATATATCTTTTGAATTGTTTCTGCATACTTTAACTAAATTTCCCAGCATTAGGGTTGACTGAGAAAGTAAATGTATCCCTCTGTGGTTGCAATTACTCTCTTATTCTGTTTTACATTAGGACAATTTAAGCAATTTAGCATAAACTGTGCAATCTCCTTGGAAAGCACATGACATCAAGAGCGCATAAATAAAACAGAATCAACCAGTGATATTGAAAACAGTTATATCACACACAGGTATCATATTAACCACAACACCCTGAAAACTAATTATATAAACCTACTCCAATTTCTTCCCCCCCAACACAAACTTTATCACCTCTACAAGTCACTATACATCTCAAGGCATACTCTCCCAGTGAGTACTGGGAGAGTGTACTTTACAAGTACATCTGTACTTTTTGTACCTACTTGGCCAGGACCTCTTCATCAGGAAGGGAAACACAGTGAACACAGACACATGAAGGACATGATGTGCCGAGCAGAGTCTGGGAGCTCTCCAGGAGATGGGCTGTGGTAGTGGTTCTTCCTACTGGTTTCCATTTTCTGCTATTCTCTCGTACAATGTCTTTCTTTGTACTCTTTATTACATAGATGGCATTTTCTTTGCTTTGGTGCATTAAAGTGTGCTTTGATGGCATTAAAGTGACTGTTTACCTGGTTCTATCCTGGCATGCACTTTGTGTGAAACACATAGGATGGGTGCACATATTAAATGCCAAGTCTGGACAGATCACAGAACATTTCTGCATGCTCTCATTCCCTACTGCATAATTTTTAGTACTACTGAATATTATTCATCCTCAAAAAGGCATAATCTATGTCTTTAAAAGCTTAGTCCAGGAAATTAAAAAATAATATTTCGAGAGAACACAATTTTATGCTTTAACTTAGTAAAAAAATGACACAAAAAGTGACAATAAAAGTTCTTTGTCTAAGAAGAGGTACATTTAAAAGCCAAAAAGATTTCTCAGGATATACAGATAATTTTTTTATTCTCCTAAACATTTAGCAATTCAGACAATGAAGTTGTAAAAGACCTTCATGGTATTATAACACTTTAACAAACTCCAGATCATGACTCCAGATCATGAAGTATAAATAAAAGTCTTTCAGGTGAAGCATCTTCAGCCTGAAAAAGACAAAAGAAACCCTTGATATTTAAATATTAAAGTACTCAAGGTGCTTTCACAGAAAGTATTAATTATTAGCAGTCTTTGTAAAAGCTTGTCTGTATGATCAACTGAATAACCACAGAGATGCTGAATGACTGATAATGACTGCTGGGACTGGTTTGGACATGTTAGCTGTCGTCCTCATGCTGGTCTAATAAGTTCTCCAGCCCCCAAAAAATAACATTAAAATATTGACCTAAAGACATGTTTTTACATGGCCAATTCTCAAAATCTGTAATTTTTTTTAATAACATAAGCAGCTAGCAATAAATGCTTATTAATTTTATCTTTTATGGGAAGCCTTCCTTGATTTGGGTAGGCTACATAGTTTTTTCAATTCTAAAACTCAAAACCAAATCACATCTATTGATTAAACTTCTTTGTTCTTAAAGAAATGGACATCTCAAAATGCAATTCCCTATGTGCAAATCCTGTTAACAATGAGCACTGCTGAAGACAGAAGATAGAAGTGTCCTTTTCAGGACAGAGATAAACAGTGTTAGGTCAAACAGACATGCCTCCTTCCAGTTAGGATTAGCTTTGACCTTTTTCTGCAAAATGATGCCAAAGCTCCTTTAAAAACACAGTTTCCCTTGTAAACACAATGGCCACTGTTTCACCCTCTACCTATCTCCCTTTCTTGCTCAATGTGTTGGAACATTTCCCCAGAAGCAGAAGATTGAAGTTTAAATCACTGCTTTGCCAGAAGGAAATTAAGGTTACCTTTGTTATTTCTGATGCAAGTGTCCTAACCACAGAGATACTGGAGAGAGTGATGGAATTGAGAAGCACACCACTGCTCAAAGCCACTGTGCCAAGTGTCTGTGTTTTGCAGTGCATTATAAGCAGACAAAAACAGACTTTGGTGAAAATGCTAGATGACAATTTTCCATATGCCAGTCGATCACTAATCCATCTTTAATTTCTCTCTGTCTGGTCCAAAAAATCTTACATTATTTTCACAGATTCTGACTAGATGGTTTCTATTCAACCACTTGAGCAGCTGTAAGACAGTCTGAAAGATATTTGCTTACCTAGAGCAAGAAATACTTAAATCTGATCAGACAGAGAGAAAGGCTGAATTAATCTCCAATCTTGTGTGTAATGCTCTTACCTTCTGGTTTCTCCTTAAAGAAGACACACATATTCAGTACTTCTTCCTGCCAGAGTGGCTGCCACTCTTTCACGTTGTAAAACCTTCTGCTATTCATGTCAGGCAAACTCTGTGTACCGTCAACAGGGCAGGCCTTAAAAGAATGAGGGAAGAATGTTTCACTTGTGCATCCCAGGAGGGATGTTTGCTGTTGAGCTGCTCAGTGCCCACAGGGCCATTGGACATTCCTACAATTTGAGCCTTCTGGGCAATTTTCCTGGGGAAAACATCACTGGCCAATGCCCCATTGGCAGCAGTTTTGGCTGGGGATAAGCTTTAACCCCAGCCAGCAGCCAGTTTCCATGGAGCCACTCACTCACACCTCCATCAGCAGGATAAGGAACAGAATTGGAAGTGAGAAAACTCAGGGGTTGAGACAAAGACAGTTTAATAGGGAAAGCAAAAGCCATACATACAAGCAAAGCAAAACAAAGAAATCATTCACTGCTTCCCAAAGGTAGGCAGGTGCTCAGCTATCTCCAGGAGAGCAGGGCCCCATCACAAATTAAGTGATCTGGGAATATAAATGCCATCACTCCAAATGCCCCTTCTTCCTCACACTTTATATACTGAACATGATGTCACATGGTCTGGAATATCCCTTTGGTCAGCTGGGGTCACCTGTCCTGGCTGTTTGCCCTCACAAGCTCCCAAGCACCCCCAAAGATCTCACCAGTGTGGCTGCACAAAAAAAGTCTTGGCTCTGTGTAAGCCCTGTTCAAGGTTAAAAATTTTTATGTTATTAACCCTGTTTTCAGCACAAATGGAAAATACAGCTCTATGATAGCCACATGAAGAAAATTAACACTACCCCAGCCAAAACCAGATGGTTTCTGTCAGTCCCCTTGACTGCAACTAATGATTCTGTAATTCCTCACGTTCTGAAACTCAACTACCTATGCTGTTCGATTGTTTAGAGAAATCACTGGCATTGGTTGGAACACAGCTAGCATCTCCCCTGATTCTATCTTAATGGACACTGTTTGGGAAATGGGATAATCCAGTTTTAATGTGGCCACCCTATTTTGGAAGGTACATCCAGTTCAATAATAAAGTGTCCACTAACCTCAGTGCCAGAGAACAGTCCTTTTTTTTAAATTTACAAGGGTAGGAAAATTACCTGTGTAGGCCATTTTATTTATAAAAGGTCAGAATAACACTTGAGATGATAATCCTATTATAATTTACTTCCTGAATATATTGCACTTTGACATAGTTCAAATCTAAATGCTGAATAATTGTGAACATGGCCATGAACATTTATTTTTTTGTATCATGAAAGAAAGAAAAAAAAGAAAAAACCCTAAGTTACTACTTACTACAATGCATGACCAAAATATTGGAGAGGTGGACATAAAATACTGGAGAGGTGGACAAAAATGAAGATGTAGTAAAGCGTTCCTAAAGGATCTTCTAAACAGAAAGCATCAAACAAAATTTATGGGGGATTTAAACTGAAAGAGATTAAAGATTACATTACTCAGAGCAGAAAAGTAAAACAACCCATAAAATAATCACAAAGTTATAAAGTACACTAATTTTTCATTTCTATCAATTTAAGAATTTTTCTTTTCTCAGCATGGAAATTGAAAAAAAAAAAAATCATCTCAGCAACACAGTATAAAATCAGACAGGAAAAAAGATAATTAATTATATTGAACATTTCTTCCAATAAAGGGTTATTAAAAGAGGGTTGCCTTTCGCCTGCCCCCAAAGCATAAAGATAAATATTATGTTCTTATGAGCCTAAATCCTTCAACAGACTTGATATACACTTTCCTCAATACTTACACAACTGGAGACGGCTACAAAAATAAGTATTCCAATTTTTTTTTTTAACTACATGTGAAATTACCTCTTAGTAAATACTCAAGAACTCCTATGAGAAGTTAATTCTGTGTTTGTAACATAAATGCTTTTGGTGACAGGGTGACCCTCCTTCTAAAGCACCTGATTTCTGAAACCCGAAAATAACAGCTGATGCATGCTGTTCAGTGCAGCTGCACTGAACTAGGCTTTAGCCGTGGTGATGTCTAAGTGCTTTAGCTGATTATACTACAGAACTAAAAGCTGTGAGATATTGTATTTCATACTGCTTTATAGCTGTGTGACAGTTGAATGCGCTCTGCTGACTCCTGGAGTTTTTTCTCAGAACAAAGAGGCCATCGCATTCTCCCACCTAACACAGGAGGAAAAGCATCTCATGTGACTGTTTGCAGTAAAAGTAAGAACAATCCTAATTTCAAATAGTCACTGTGAACTGATAACTTTCAAACTAAAACTAAGGATGAACCAGTGAGTAACTTTTCCTTAAGGAAGGGTGGCATAAAAGAGAAGGTATAAGACATTGTTTGAGTTTCAACTCTTCACTTGTTTCTCTAGTGGTTTACTATTAAAGCCACTGCTGCGCAACAGGAGCCACCAGAGATCTCCCTTGCAACTCAAGCTTCGTAGGGATCAACCCCCTTCACTGAACACATTCTGGATCCCACAGCAAACCTGACTGCAGCTTAAACTGTCCATCCCAAATGAGTCACACAGGACAAGGTGATAGGTTTTTTATAGCTGCTTTAAAATGGCAAATATACACCCAGATAAGAAAGTCCCTGTTTAAATTCCTCATCATAAGTTTGAACCTGCACTGTGCTGGAAACTTGGTATGATTATTTCCTGAAACTAGGAGCATATAAAAAAGAGCATTTCTCCTGAAGACAATTATATGTTGCTTATACATTTTATATTACTTCAAACTTTATTCTTTTTCCTTATTACCAGTTTCCATTAAAATATTTCTTTCTCTCTCATAAAAAAACTTTTTGAAATTATCACGTCTATTCTTTTTTCCATCTTCCAAATATTTTCATTCCACGTGAAGAAGAAAAGAGACAAATCTATTCTTTCATATTGTCTACCCATAATGACATTTCTACTGTTTTAAGAACAAGAGGAGCTCTCCTCTCCATGTATTGCATAACTACTTCCATCTGTCTTCATATTTTCCAACACTAGAGTCCCTTCAGTCTTACAAAATTTAAGGGACTGAAGTAAGAGGGGATTCATATTTAATACAAGACCGACATGGAAGCAGAGGAGCAGATATTTGAAAGTCATGAAAGAGAAGTTGGAGAAGAACTGTCAGGAGCGCCACTGAAAGTTTAATTACAGGATATGGATCCTGTCAGGTTTGTTTATATTTGGTTGCACTTGGCAACCACCTGTCATGCAGCCTTATGTAGATATATAGGAAATTGAAGGATTCAACAGTCAACTTGGTATATGAGCCCAGTGCTTAACCAAGCTAGTTTAAAGCCAGATATCCCTATAGGACATGTTACCAGTCATGGTGAAGAGTTTCCTGGGATAACTGTGACTGAGTTATCCAGCTCAGGAAAGCAGAAGTTTCCTGTGCTGGCCTGTTTAGATGCAGCTGGAGCACTGCCCTGCAGGGCTGCCCACGGGCCCCTGTGCTCCCCTTTCAATCCAGCCATCAGACTGCTACAGGCACCTGCCAACGTCACTGTGGGCCACTCCAAAATCAACTCAGTACTTCTGCTTTCTCAAACTGTGAAATTCAGTTAGCCCTGTGAAACATACAGTGGCTACACAGATTGTGTTTGCCAGCTGTGAAAATCAGGCCAATCTTGAAGTTGTAATGTAAGTAACTTATTTTAGATGCCTCACTTGTAAGAGGAAACTCAGACTAAAGATTGTGTCATAATTCCAAAGGAAGATAATGTTTTCATTATGTTGTGTTTCCTACTGTTAAAACTAACTGAAGCCTGCCATGAAGAAATGTAAAACCACACACACACTAAAAATCAGACTCCTGAGAGGCAGTCTGGAGAGTTAGATGCTCCTGTAGCGAGGACTTGTACCCTGCTGGGTTTCCTTTAGACTGGCCAGGGCTCTAGTTCATTATGAACAATTCCAGTTGACTGTGGGGAGCAGAGTCCTGTCTTAAGCTTTGATATACATTAATTTATGATAATACCCAATACTGTGCGATATGAAATAGGAAGATCAGATGAAGGATCAGAAGTTCGTCCTATAAAAACAATTTTATGTTATAGAATCAAAGAATCATGTCAGTCTAAATAAATAAATCAGTCAGATGCAACCTTAACAGAAAACAATTAAGCAACCTTAATTGTTGCATTTAAAATATGCATGATTTCTTGGTTGTAGAAAATCAGATACATGGGCAAGGATTTGTTTCCATCAGCCTAGTTTATAACACACATTATTTGCACAGGATGCTGAAGAACTGCTCTGAGGACAGTGCAGCTGATTACTAGTAGTCTCCTCTCTTCTTGCTAGTGTAATTTTTTTTTTTAGGAATGTGCCATAGAAGAAAAAAAAAAAAAAACCCTGTTGAATTATGAAAAACAAATCCTTCCCTGGAATGTGCCACCCAAGTGGTAATAGTTTTCACTGGATGATATTACTACAATATCTGAAGTATGTCATCCTTACCAACAAATAATGCATAAACTGATTTCTCAGGTATGAACTGCTTCAAACAGATAAAAATTGGTTGCTATTGCTCAATTTCCTATTTCACAATTAGTTTAACTGAAAACAACTGATACTGTCATGAAATTTCCAAAAACTTTTACAAAATGCAGTCTTTAGGAACTATGAATTACCTACCCCTGAGAGAGATCAGATATTTCCCCCATTTTACACAGAAAACTGCTTTTCAAATTTGTAAGACCCACAAGATACTACCCCTCTATGTGTTTCAAAGCATCAAGTCCTGAAAAGAAGGAGATGATGCTTCTTAGTACAGGACTACCACGTGTAACCTATATGCACCACCTTCCCCCAAGAGATCCCTTTTTTCCCTAGAAACTTTGTACAAATTGAAATTACAATTTGTCCATATGAACAGGATTTTACACATGCCTGGCATCCTGATCAAAGCAGCTGCTTTCTGTAGTTAGCAGACATTAGGACATGCCAGGCTCCTGCAAATATAGAGGCGGCATGTGCAGTGAGCCCGCACCGCTCCCATGCATTGGACCCTTGTGTACTCAGTCAGTACAGCTAACACAGGAGGTTCAAATCTTGTTCCACTTGCAACCTATGTGCTGACCACTACAGTGTCTGTGCTCACATGTCAGTGTTTCACAACTGAAATTCAGGTAGCTCACAGCCTCACACTATCAATTAACATACTTGGGTGATTAAAATGTACTAGTTATTAGCATTAGTTAAAAATAATAATTTTATGATGTGATACCTTTTGGTCTTAAGCTAACGCAGTTCTTTTAATGTGCATTCATTTATATGTATGTATATATATTTGTATATATTGATATAAAAGATTGTAATTTTACACAAGATTAACAAAAGTGGAACCATTCACATGCTTATGAGAATGAGAAAGAAATTTCCTTACAGAACATTGCTTAAAAACATGTCTATTAAGAGGATCATTACTTATCTTTTATGTAGTTAGTAAGCATAGAACCACTCTGTATTTACTGTATCCACAAAAACTCAGCAAAAAAACCCCAAAACAT